GTTGGCTTGAGACTGAGTTTTTATCTTTCTTTTTAATGCTCAATCCTCCACTCTTTTTTTTTTTCCCCTTTTTAACCTTGCTGTTTCCTTCTCCTTTCTGCGGGCTCCACTTCTCTGTCAGCAAGGTTTCGCCACAAACCGCTCGACTCCACTGTTATGTTTTTTAAGAATAAAAGGAAAAAAAAACAAGCAGACAACCAACCAAGCTGTAACAGCAGCCATGTGTGGTTTTATTTATAAGTTGTGGGGAGGAAATAAAATACAAATGCAGGGAAGGGGGCAAAGATGCTGAGGGGGAGATGGGAATATGGGTGCTGTGGTGGGTGATGGGGAGCCCAGACTGCAGTCAGAGCTGGGGGCAGTGGTACCCAAGGAGATTTTTAGGAAAACACATCCCAAATTCTCTTTCCCATAGATTCAAATTCCCTTTTTTTTTTTTTTCTTTTTCGGCGGGGGAGACACTAGTAGCAGATGATGACCCGCAGCTCATGTCCTGAAGGAACAGGTCATGCCAGAGAGAATTAAAATCCCAAATCCTGGCCCCACTGCCATCTCCATCCTCGCTGCAGCTCCTGAAGTGCCACCTGGCCCGTCAGGGGTGACACCAGCCTGGCGTGGCAGGCGGCCACCCTGGCACCTTGAGCGGGGCCAGGAGCTGCGCGAAGCAGAAGAAATAGAGACCTTGCAGGAGGCAAGGGGGCCTCTGGGCTTTACCATCAGGCTGATTTTCCTGGAGTTTCGCAAAGGGAGACATGCGCTGTCGCAGCAGGAGCTGGGTGGGAAAACCAGCGTTTTCTTGCAAAATTTACAGTCGCCAGGAAGACTGGGAGATTTAAGGGCCCTGCCGAGCCTTGTGCAGAGGGACCCTGGAGCTCCTGAAGAGCGGCACCCGGCTGCTCGTCCCGCCGAGCCCGGGTCGCGGCCGCGTCCTCCGGGCGCGGTTCGGGAAAGCGGGATCCCCGCAGGGGGCGGCGGAGTGCTGAGGGCGCCACGGCGGGGCTGTCCTCGCAGCGGTCCCATGGTGTAATGGTTAGCACTCTGGACTTTGAATCCAGCGATCCGAGTTCAAATCTCGGTGGGACCTCGCGCACTTTTTGCCCTCACCGGCCCGGCCCGGCCCGCCCCGCTCCCGCCGCGCGCGA